GGCTCGTTCTTACAGCTGTTAGGACTCGTTGAAGTCAGATAGGGGGTTCAGGAGTGCTGTAGTACTCTAAGATCTAGGTTTTATGAACTGTTAGTTATAGTTGTGTAGTGGTGATGCCTTCAGTTTGAGAGGGCGTGTTGGATATCATACCAGGCTGAGGCTTTCGGGGCTGAATGCGCTAATGGGTTTAGCTTCAGGGCAGTCAGCCCACCCTAAGGCCACCAGGATCTTGGCGCTATTATCGTATGATTATCTGGTCACCCTGATGGCACACCTGTACATATGGGGGCTTCTCCCTCAGAGATCTTCTTCTCTTTCCTTTCAATACAGAACGGTTTGAAATCTCACAATTATTAATCGTAATAATGCAGCTGACAAGCAAGCTAGCATTACAAGCGAGTTGGCACTTGTCATGAACTCTCTAACTGCTATGTTAAATAACTTTATCACAACGCATTCAATTCAATTCAATCAATTGGATTCCTCTTCCTTAGAGGTTTCTATTTCTATTGTACAAGTTCGCGCATTATAGCCAGTGTTGCCGCAAACGCCACACCGTCATTCACGTGCTGCCGCCCTCCTTAGACAACGACTATCTTTACCTATTTCTTATCTTGCCAGCTCAGTACTATTCTTTGTAGCCTGAAGACTTATTACATCTTTAATAGAAAGATTCCTTTTTTCAGTTTTTTGTTTTTTATTTTTCTGGTCTCTATTTAATAAATGATTGGCTTTTTTAGCTCGTGGACCCAAGAATCAACTAAAGCGACCTTGTGTATAAAACCATATATAGTGTTTAAAAACGAGCTCAATGCATCAACTATTGATATAGGTGAGCTTTCCTGATAGTTTTTAACACGATTTCAGATATAAACCAATTCGTTTACCGCTTTGTTAATAGTGATAGGCGTTTTGAAAGTCTAAATAATAGGTGGCAGATTGGGGTCTAACGACGATGTTTGTATAACAGCGACAGTATCAAGCTTTGAAATAACACTTTATGAGTCAAAAGAAACAAGGCTAGTAATATTAAAACCTGCTCAAATGTTTTCTGGTGTCATAGCAGCGTTATATGCTTCACAAAACGCTGCAAGAAAGTCCTCTTTTCAAACATGGGTTATATAACGCCGGATGAGATCCTTAATTGAGTGACTATAAGCTCATTTAAGCGGGCTAAAACAACTAATATCTAAAGGCTGGAGCCTGTGTAACAAGTGAGCAGACATACAAAGAGTAATGATACTATTATTCTGACAATAATTCTTAAAGACCTAGAAATAGTGGGTTTTATAGCCATCTAGGATAAGGAGGCGTTTATCAGAAGTCATATACGGTCTGGTATACTTGTTGAACTGCTGAATCCATTTCAAACCGATTGTGACGTTCCGTATATGGGAATAGAACATAGAAGCCCTTGTTTACTATATACATATAACTATCTCTGGCTGAAGAGAAAAAAGAAGATCGAGCGGCACAGCCAAATCTGGTGGGCAACTAGATAAGTGTGTCCGCCCCATAATTCAGAGCCCTAGTGGGTCTGGGACAAACAGTCGTCCAGGAGGTCACGTGTGTTGAATTGTAAGGGTATTGCACCGGCATGTCAGGCCGCCTGGTCACCGATCGGAGCCCTAAGGCTCCACTACCATATCCCCTTAAAACGCCTAATTCCCACAAACATACTAGGCTAGATTGAAATATCTTAATACACTTATTTCTTGAAATCACTGCCATCACCTTGCTTTAGCATTCAGCTACCTTAACCCTTACATGAATACACGGATGTTGATTGATGCTATTGCTTGTTCTGTTCTGCGTGCAAAGATTGATTATCTGTCTTTTTGGTGGGTCAGATGCCCTGTGCGTCTCTGCCCCACTGGAGATCTTCCGGTGTCTATCTCCGGCTCCTATTCAACAGATTGTATTGATTGTTGTTTTTTGTTTTGCTCTGCTTTTTTAGCGTACAGAGATTGATCATCTGTCTTCTTGGTCGGTCAGGTGCCTGTGCATCTTTGCCCCACTGGAGATCTTCCGGTGTCTATTTCGGGCTCCCATTCAACACATTCATGCTAGTATCTAACAACGTGCTGTCGCATGATCCAAGGACTATCACCAATGGTAGCGACGTAGCAACCATGACACCAATCTCATTTATAGTCCACCCGTTATCAGGCACGGCCACCTTCTAATCGCGTGGTAATGTCGTGTTGTGATACCATGATACAAAATAGATTTTGCGCTATAAAATAATAAATGGCAGGACCACTTGATTATCAGCATTAATAGCAGAGATTACTATAAAGTATTCTTTATTACTTTGCTGAGCTTGTTTAGGCCTGTCATATCATTTGACGCTTATAATGACTGTGCCAGACCCAATAATGCCCATCATAAATCCAGTCTCATTGTAGTTATAAATATCCGCATCTTAGATACCATGTTTTGTGACTGTTGCCTCAACTTAGCAAAACCACGCGTAATACACGTCTAGATCTTTATTCAAGACTCTCTGGTAATCCATCCTACAATAAAAACGTGTCTTGAGGCCTGTTGTGCGTTTAATGAAGTTCTGTGTCCAGTTTTTTTCAACGCGTTGAAACCTACATACTGCCAACGATTGATTCACCATATCTTAACGTAACTATACCGGGATAGAAATGTTCACATATCCAGGTCAAGCATATAAAAAAAATTAGCATTCTCTTTAAAAACCGTAAGTTTCAAAGTATTGGGCATGCTGTTGCGTCATGATGACATTCCTTTGACTGTATTGCTCAGAATCAAATGAGGAATATTAGAGAGTTTTACAAGCTGAAATATAGAAATATAAGGGACACTTTGTTTAGCTTGGACAGCTAGCTATAAGTCAGATTTGTTACAACGCGGTGCCATTGTTCTTGGTAGAGATATAACGGTTTGAATCGTGTTAGTTAGAGAGTTCATAGCGAGTGCCAACTCGTTTGTAATACTAACTCAGTTGTCGGCTACGTTAATATTATGATATAATATAAATATTAGAAAATATATGAATAATTATAACTTATTATTATACTTGTAAGTTTATTATAGAAGGTTTAATTTGATTAATTAATTAATTTAAATCCTTACAAATCAATAATGACGTTAAAAATATTTATGTTTCTTTTAAAATATATTTTAAAATATTTTAAATTTTAAATTTTGTAACCTATATTATATTTAATAAATTGCTTAACAAACGTTGATTAAACTTTAAAAAAATTTAACTCCTCGTAAAATACTTTATAATATTATTTTATAACTGCTTCTTTTTGTGACGGCCTACACGGACGTTCCCACATGACAAGCCGATACTTCCCAATAAGAGAAAGATCTGACCAGAGTATCCCTTTAAAGGGGCAACCTCCCGCTGTACCTATCTCTCTCTCTCTTTCTTTCCTCTCTAGTCTTGATATTCTCGGCAATAGAGTAATAGCTGCTTGCTGCTGGCCATATCCCTGCTCTTCAATACGCTCGCCGTGACACTTTTTAATTGGAAAAAAAATCTAGTTAGAATAATAAATCGTATGATTAATACGTAAAAACGCGGCGTGAATTGAAAAAAATCTCAGTTAAAAAAACCAAATAACCTTTGAATTTAAATAACTTTTTAACTTTTTAATAATTAAAAATAACTACTCATATATAAATCTTTTTATTGTAAACCTTTTTACCGTATAATTTATATAACCTCCTCTTATTTTATTTAAAACGTTCGTTACTATTATTCTATTTTACTATTTATAAACGCAACTTGATTTAACTAATAAAGAATATATTAAATAAAAAAAGGTTTAATAAACCAGAAACATTATTACTATTTTAATTAAAAACGTTAAGTTTAAAAAAGTCGAATTTAAGCTTATTATATGAAAGTGTGAGAATTTGTATGCGGAAATATTGGTTCATTCGTTCTTCGTTCTGTATCTACTTTGGTACGGACGAATTCACACCTAAATACAGGTGTAACGCGCCTGCCTGCCGTAGCGCTAGAGCTGTGGGGCAACGTCGCTAGTCGACCGTTCCAAGGGCGATCGGACCACCCCAATCCACCTGGTGCGTGCGCGGACCACCTGCAGCCACACCACATGCACCACTCCATCCAAAAGAAAGGAATTATTTTAAACTAATATTTATATTATTTAGACAATATATAAATATCAATCAAAAACTTGTGATGTTTGCTACATCGCTACCATCAGTGATGGTCCTGGGATCACGTGACAGCACGTGACCTCCTGGAGGACTGGTTGTCCCAGACCCACTAGGGCTCTGAATTGTGGGGCGGGCATACTTATCTAGTTGCCCACCAGATTTGCTGTGCCGCTCAATCTTCTTTTTTCTCTTCAGCCAGAGATAGTTATACGTATATAGTAAACAAGGGCTTTTATATCCTATTCACATATACGGAACGTCACAAAACTATTATTAAATAATCTATAGAATATTTAATAATCAACTATCATATTAAAAGGTATCTGATTGTTAAATACACTTGATCTACCAGGCAGCTCGTTTTACTTAAACTAATAATATTCATTAAAAAATTGTCCCAAAATGACCCCATTTTCGATACTTTCTAATACATACACGCGAGCCGCCTAGCAATCTAAGCTTCACCGAAGCAAACTCCACCTCCGTTCGCTTAGAGGTCGGCATCGTGCTACATCATGCATGTTGTGGGCGAATAGCGGCTCACCAAAGCTACTGGCACTCCTTATCCGTGGCTGGTATAGTTCTCCTGACGTCTAAGCAGCCTTGAAGCTGCGCTTCTCGCAGGTGATGTAATCGCACGGAGTTGCGGGCCTGCTGCTGGGGCACGAGGTTCACGGCAATGGAAAGGCATATATAACAACGGCACTGCCTCTGGTAGTCCGCTGCTGGGTCTATCACTGTCATAAACCATGCATACTTGATCTCTATATCTTACCTCTTCAGATACTCCAGAGCTCATCAACTTGATCATCCCCGTGAACCCAAAAACCATGGCATCGCAGCAAAAACCCACCGGCACCCTAGTCATCACAGGCGGCGGCGGCTACGTCGGCGGCAACATCGTGCGTCTCGCGCTCTCCAAGGGGTATGCCGTCCGCCTGACCGCGCGATCCGACTCTTCAGCACAAAAAGCCGCGGCGCTACACCCGCAGTACGTCAACACGCCGCAGCTCACCACGACCGTCGTGCCGCCGTTCGACTTTGGGGGGTATGCGGACTCGGGCGAGGTTGCCCAGTCGTATTTACGCGCGCTCGAGGTTCCCAAGGCGGCGGGACAGAGGTTCCTCGTGGGTCAGGGGTTCAGGTACCAGCTTGCGGTGGACTCGGCGCGGGAGTCGATCCCGGAGCTGAAGTACAGATTGCCTGTGGGCAGGCCGGGTTTTGTTGAGCCGGCGTATGAGATTGACGGGTCCAAAGTCGAAAAGGTCCTTGGGTTGGAGTACAAGACGTTGGCCGAGACTGTTCGCGATACGTACAGTCAGTTATGGCAGGCCAAGAAGACCGAGGGCACGGCGTAGACTAGTCGGCTCCCAGACGGCCGAGCTTCAACTTGACAGTTGATGGTAATTAAGATGTGGCTTCGAGTATAAACCATCGCGTTGATAATGCGAGGAATGCTGTCATGTTTATTGTGTATCGTGTGACATGAAGACTTCCCCACATTCCGTCCCCCCTTTTCGACACTAACCCAAATCACATCAGCCAGCTGATTCGCCTAGTTGGTGACCGCTGAAACGTGGTGTACCAATGGAGGGTGCCACGACGGCAAGAACGTTCCTGCATGGGCAAACATAAACACCTCCCTCGTGACCTCCCTCTCCCACTTCGATCAACAAACGTGTCTCACCATCGACTTGTGGCACAAGCCTCCTCATTTCCCAAAACAACCAATAACGCCTCACCCAGTTACTGTCCTCTCTCCTTGCACACCAATCATACCAGTACACCCTCACCACCTCATCGCAGCCTTCAGACCCAAGATGAAGTCGATCCTGCTCGTAGCAGGCATGGCAGCCCTCACCACTGCGCAGCTTGCCGGTCTTCCCTCATGTGCAGTGAGTCGGCACCCACCCAAACTTCACACCCGCCGAGCCTGCTAACTACCTACCTAACTTACCAACCCACCTCAACGACCCCGTACTGACAGCTACCCATCAGCTCCCCTGCATAACCTCCGCCATCGCCGCTGCAGGCTGCGGCCTCAGTGACATCGCCTGCCAATGCGGGCCGGCTAAGACCGTCATTTACAACAACGCGACCCCCTGCCTCCTCGGTTCATGCAAGCCCGCGGATCTGGCGCAGGCACAGAGCGTCGGTGCGGCGTTGTGCTCGAGCTTCGGCGGCGGTCAGCTCTTCCTGCCGACGGCGACGACCACACCGACGGGTGATGAGATCTGGGCGACGACGCTGCCATCGACGGGTGATGATATCTTGGCTACGAGGATGCCATGGACGGGTGATGAAGTCTTGGCGACGGCTACGGGCCACGCCATCACCACTATGATGCCCATTCCGTTGTCGATTCTTACCGAGAGTTCGTCGTCCATGGACATGGACGGCATGGGCGGCATGAACATGACCTCCGGTGGGACGCTGACAGCGACGCATATAGGCGTGACGCCGACGCTCACCAAGCCGGTCACGGGGTCTTTGACGGTTCCGACGGGGAATGCTGCGGCGACGCCGGCGATGGCTGGGGCGGGTGTGTTGGCTGGTCTGCTGGGCGTGGTTGCGGCTCTGTGAGAGTAATTCCAAGAGAGTGGTGGATCTGCTGGTTTGGGAAAGGGGTTGAGCAGCATACATGATAATGACTTGCGTGTATTGGTTGATGGTATGTGAGCTGATAAGTATCCAAGCTGGGCATTGTGGACTTCATACAAGTCCTAGGTGAGCGGGATCAGGTGCGATAGTGTCTACACAGTACACTTGGAGGGCGCCTCTGACTTGACGGGTCCGTACAATACCATCATCCAAGATTAGGCTTGTTTCAATGTCAGAACATTCAGAGCCGAAGAGACCAATGGACACCGTGAGATCATGGAACTGGACCTTCTTCATTACCGTGGTGCTGATGCGATGTGACATTATCGTAGCATGTAGAGAACAACTCATAAACTACTATCGACCAGCTCGCGTTCAACGAGTTCACCAGCGTGTTTGCAAGGTTGATGCAGCTTCCATAAAACTGTGCTGTTCTCATGATGAGTAATATGCGGCAAAAGGGGTTCGTTTCCGTAGCTTCGTCCAAGGATTCCCCACACGAGCTTCCCCAGACCGCGGCATCCCAGTCCGATCGCGGTCCCTCCATCCAGTCCTACCTTGTCCACATACAACGACTGCTACGACTCCATCTGCCAGCGTAACTTTCGCGTTCGCCTGACAATTACTTGATATCACGACTTCCATAACGCGCGCCTCCGACCATCGAGCGATACCTAGACAATGGCCACCTCGACTCACGTCGTCATGGGCCAGAACCCACCAACAGAAGCCGAACCGAAGTACGGAGGCTTCACCAGATTCGAGATCGAGCTCGAGGTAAAGCTCCCCTTAACCACGCTTCACTGCCACCCGCACCACCCTCCCCTCGCCTTCCCATCTCTATTAACAATCTCCCAGTTCGTCCAGTCCCTAGCCAATCCCTACTTCCTAAACCACCTCGCCTCGCAGAAGCTCCTCAGCGAGCCGACCTTCGTCGCCTACCTCGCCTACCTGCAGTACTGGACGCGGCCGCCCTACGTCAAGTACCTGAACTACCCGGGCCCGACGCTGAAAAACCTGAAGCTCCTGCAGGAGGAGCGGTTCCGGCAGGAGATCATCAGTCCCGAGCTGGTGCAGGCGCTGGCGGCGGAGGGGATGAAGGCGTCGGTGGATTGGCACAAGGATGAGGGTCTGTAGGAAGGCAATCAGGCCAATCCACAGGAAGCCCCTAGAGAATATGAAGGATATGAGAGTTTCGCACGTCGACTCGGCTCGGGAAGAGATACACCCCTTTGCGCTTCTTGCTTGATCCGGCAAAGGCGTGTAAGACTGCCGCGCCACGAAGGAGGAGGGTGACGAGGTTTGCCGCCTATACGTATGGTGGGTCACCCGTCGAAGGCACGACGCTTACGACAGTCACACGGTCGGATATTACGGAAGAATATGTATACCAGCAAGCGTGGCAGAAGCAGGTGGTACAGGGGTATCATGATAGTGAAGAAACTACCTCAGACTTGAGATGCTTCAAAGAATTAGACGTGCGTGCAACAGCACCAACCCTCCCAGCTCCCTCTCTCCCAAGCGAACCAACATGTCCCAACGCCGATCCATCCAGTGGTTTCGTCGTCGCCATCTTAATTCTCGCGCCACCGGTGTCCGCAGGTCATGCACTGCACTCAAGCATCAGTAACCAATCCCAACCAACGATACGATCAATCCCATCCACCCTCCACCCAATACGCGAGGGCCCACTCACCTTGTAGAACAGCGTAGCGGGCTCATCAGCACTGCGGATCTGCAACTCATAGTACGCAGCCTCCTTGCCGCTGCACGTGGTGACGGGGCACTGCACGGTGCCCTTCTGGGCGTTGTCCCATGCGCCGGCGCCGCCGAAGACCTCCTCGCGCTCCTTGCGCTTGAAGTGGCGGCGCGAGTACATGGGCTCGTCGATGGCGTGCTGGTAGGGGCAGGTGCGGCACTCGAGGCGGTTGCGACCGGTTTCCGGGGATGGGCTGACGGTCAGGATGTTGCTGCATTGGGGGCAGACTGTTTGTTGCTCGGAGGTCAGTCGGTGTTGGACATTGAGGGACCTTGGTGGGGGAGGATCGGGTTGTGGGAATACGTACAGAGAAGCATGGTGACGGTCGTGGCCTCCCACACGGCCTTCTTGCTTGTGGTCGATGAGCGGTTGGAGTGTCGCGGTACGGTGGTTGCTATAACTTCATGGTTCGTGAAGCGCAGTGTGAGTCTTGCGATGGCACTTTCAGAACTTCGACCGAAAAAGGTATAGTGGGTCAGCACAAATACCGAACACCCCACTCTTATAAAAGAACCCTCCTCATTATAACCACATTCAAAGCTTTACGCGAGAGAGAGAAAATACGGCATAAAGATAAATATATAAAGTTATAAAGGCGTAATAAAGTCAAGATTTAAAAAGTATATTAACTTGAATAATTATAGAGATTTTAATAAAATTACGTAAAACTAGTTATTCTATACTTATTCTTGCATCTTTTAATATAATCGATGTATTTAAATGTCCTTTAATAGAAATTTAAATATTTTATTTTTTAAAACATAGCTTAGTTAGTTTTTCTATATTTATTTTTATAAAGTTGTTATAAAAGGTTAAATTTATATAAATATATACCTAGTTTTTAAGCAATGATATTAATTAAAGAAAAACCGTTTGTAAATGAAATAAAAGTAGTACTTTAATATTTATATAGTAAAGTTAATTTTGAAAATTTTCCCTTTATTTCTTTTTTTTTTTTTTCGAGCGTGTGTAAAAGTGCGAGAAGTAAAATTAAATGGTGTTCGGTTTTTTTGTCTACCCACTGTACATGTTCGGGATGATGGCATCCATGGTGGGGCCCAGCGCTAAACTTCCAATGGAGGTCTGGACCTGGAATCATCCCGCCGGAACATCGCTGAAACCATTGCACCGGCAGAACCCCACGGCGGGACCTGCAGTGGTGGGGGTGGCCTTTGAACTGACGTCGGGTGCATTCCCAGCGTCAAAGGAGCCGACCTGAATCATGGATTGGAGCCACTGCCACGTCCTTCAGCAAGCGCTGACTTGCCGCTACCATTCTACAACAACAAACACGTTGTTCAACTGCCTTGCATTCCGGCGGCATACGTAGCTGTCTACAATACCCAGTTTCTTCGTTGCCCTTGCGCTTTTTCTCGTGAAAGGGCCATCGTCCCCAGCTATCTACCGGTCTTGAAAACCACAATGGCGGACAATCAGGAGCATGAAGTATATCAGCCGATTTCTTTGTGCCCAGCGTTCGCCAGCTAATGCCAGTCAGGGAGCCTCCGCCAAGGAGCAACTTATCGAAGCCTGCCGTCGCAATAATGTCGACCTACTCACCGAGATCATCTCTAACTGCAAGAACGACGACGAGATATCCGACCTGCTGAATAACTCCAAGACCGTCATGGGCAACCACGTCTACCACGAAGCCGCGCTGCAAGGGAACTGTACGTCACCCTATACACGGCTGGGCTAGTTTGGTTTGCATGATCATGGCACAGGAAATCAGGAGGAGGCAGACCCGAGCTGGCTAACACCCGCACCAACTAGACGAGATCATCGACATGCTCCTCGACCAGGCCAACTTCGAGTGCGACCCCATAAACCGCGCTGAGGGCGACACGCCCCTGCACAGCGCCATCCGGTGGATCAACAGCGAGCCGCCGGCACAGCGCGAGTTCGGCAACGCCCTGGTGGAGATGATGCTGGAGGCGGGCTCGAGCACGCGAATAAAGAACAAGGCCAAGCTGACGCCGTACCAGCTGGTCGACCCGCGGAACCAGGGCCTGAAGGACCTGATCCAGAAGCACGAGTACGCGGCGCTGAACGCGGGCGACTTCATCGGCGCCGACGAGGTCAAGCCCGCCAAGAAGGGCGGTAACGCCAATAACGCGAGCACGTTTGTTGACTCGCGGCAGGGTGCCGAGAGTGACGACGATGATGATGCGGAGTTCTCGGGTAGCGATGAGGAGGAGCGGGCTGAGTGGGAGCGCAGACGGAAAACAAAGGGCAAGGGCCGGTAGAGGAGAGTGCTGCGGGTGTCAGTCAGCGGGAGGCTCTGGGAAACGGTTAGAGGGCGCAATGCGCACCGGAGTTGTGGCATGCATGGTCCATTGGCTTGGGCTGGTCCGGTCAGCCAGCTTTCACGAGTTCTATGGCTGTTGTTTGATTTACTACTGCATACAGGCAAGCAAAATACATCGCAATACCGCGTCTCGCTGGAGAGTCATGTTCAGGATACATTGGACTCACACTGCGTACTGCGAATGCCACTACACACAGGAGAACGATGAGCTCGGGGGGCGATTCATAGTTACGTGAACAAGCAGTGAAACGCAAATTGCCAGTGAGCTGCACGAGTTCAACGCCAGACCTTCAAGCCTCCCACAGACTAACTGCAGCATTTGAATGATACCTCGCTATACTGTTTACACTTCTACCATGTGCTACATATGGCTTTCGGCTTATCGACGGAGTTTGCCCCTGATCAGACGGCTATACATTCTGGCCGGGCACTTCCCCTGCATGTCCGTCCATCAGTGAAGACGCAGCCGGATCTCTCATTCCCTTATACTTATGACGATACGGCCCATCAACCGGATCCTCCCACCACACCTTGAGGTCGCGCCACTCATACAGGAATGGCCTGATCAGCCGGAACTTACAATACCACTTGCTGCCCATCGAGGTATCAGCATACACAAACGGGTCGTCGGGCCTGTACCCTTCCGTGTCCTCCAGACTCGGCCCCTCGACCGCCGCCTCCTCGTCCTCCTCCTTCGTCGGAAACGCATACGAAGCACGCACGACACGACCAGACCGACCCTCAGCGCCACCGCCGGGCCCCACTGCCCGATGGCCCACGGGCAAAGGAGAAATCAAGTTGACTGGTACGTACCAAATGATGGTGCGCTGAAAGCGCGAGTAGGTGCCGCTCAGGGGTAGACGCACCACACGTCGCGGGAGAAGGTCTAGGTCTCGTTCGCCAGCATGTTCGGTGTACTTGTGCGAGTGCGGCGATGGGAAGCCGGACTTGGAAATCCTGGGCGTGCTGGAGCTAATTTTCTCTTTATATATATTCACGCTTTGAAGGCAGCCCTTTTTTGGGTCGGACCCGAGGCTGCATGCCAGTGGTTGGATCTACCTCTTTTCTCTTTCTTATCTATAGGAAAGGAGGATGCTGTCTCACTTCTGTTACAGGATCGAAGGAGGCGGCGGAAGCCGAGAACTGCTGGCGATAGCCGAGGGATACGACTACGCTTGAAGGGTGTTTTTATCCATGTGCAACATAGCCCCTACTCCTGTTTGGCGGTTTGACGTTCAGCCCTATGACAAGGGGCTATATATAACCACCACTGACAATCCTTTCCTTACTTTTTTTTGTTCGAATCATGGAAGTAGAAACCGCTCATGTAGAGCCTGATATCGCAGATCTTTCTCCCAAACAATGTCATAACCGCCGCATTGTGAGCATGCTGCTGGTCCAGGGCTTGCCCCGGCGGAGGAGGAAGGGAAGGGGGTTGTTTACTATCCATTGTCAATCGCAGTTTTCCAATATCCGCAGCTTTCTTTCCCCCGTCGCGTCTGAAAGCCCGAAATCAAGACGAGGGAAGTGAAAAAGACCTAACTTACTCCGAAAGACTGAATAGCCGCACTCATCGGCGCGAACCACGCATTCGCAATCTTTGTATTCCCGGAATCATTCGGGTGCACCCCGTCCACCGTATCGCTGCTCGTGCTATACCCCTCGAACAGATCCACGACCGTGACGGGGCTCTGACTCGTCGAGATCCCAGCCGCCCACGCCGGGATGGCAGCATCGAGCGCCACGACACCCGACGTGCAGTCCGAGCAGCCGCTGGGGTTCATGGGCGTGATCTGCGCGACCATGATGACCATGTCGGGGTTCTGGGCGCGCATCTGGCCCACGAGCGTCGTGAAGGCGGCCAGGATCGTCGACGTGGCCAGGTGGTTCCACACGTCGTTGGTGCCGAGCATCATGGTGACGATGTCGGGGCGCGTCTGTGCGAGCCAGCCCGGCAGCTGGTTGTCCGACACGATGCCCGTCGCGAGGTAGCCGCCGTGGCCGTCGTTGTCGCCGTCGTAGGTGAAGCCGCAGCCCTGCGCGGGGAGCGTCCCGACGAAATCGGTGTTGGTGATGCCGGCGTTTTGGAGCTTTTGCCAGAGGAGCGCGCGCCAGCAGCCCTGGGTTTGGGATTAGTGATATGACATGGAGGCGGGACGGGGGGGAGGGAGGGAAGGGAAAAGGGGGGAAGTACAGGAGAGCCGGTGATGCTGTCGCCGAGCTCGTTGATGCGGACTGTGACAGCTGCAACGGGCGAGAGCGCCGCGAGGGCGAGAGAAAGAACGGACAGGAGCGATGATGAAACCATTTTCACGAGATGTTTATCAGAGACCTTGACTTGTGGGAGAGCACAAAGCGAGGATATCGGTCCCCTTTATTACAACTATGGTGATAGAGCTTGGCAAGAGCTGGGCCATCAGCTGACAATACTCCTTTCGCCCGATAAGCCTGATTAGGTATGTGAGGCCACATCTAGACCTCCATCGATGTTTACCGCGAGATCGGTTGGCAGAGTTGGAGTTTCCGGGGTTGGATATTCCGGGGCAGGAGATTCCGGGACTGGAGATTCCGGGACTGGAGATTCCGGGGTTGGGAGGATATCAGGCTGAATTTCCCCACAACTCGAGCGTGGCATTTTTGATTGATAATTTAGAATAGATGGGATGTGTTATTGGGCTGTGAAAGCCTCGCTGGTATGGAATTATGTCTAGAGACCGGAATGCGCCCCCGGAGGACGTCTGCCGTGCATTGCAACTCGTGGATAGGAGATGTGCCCGGCTTGGCGATGAGAGTTTAATTACTTCTTACGCGGATGATGAGACACAAGTACTGCAACGAAGAAAGCTTCGATGCATATATAAAGGTCGAGAATGTTTCACGTATAGTGGAGACTTATTTGTGTGCCTTCTGACCGGGCTCCAGAACGAGACCATCTCACGACAGGATGTGGGTCTGTATTCTGGATGTTCTGCTTTCTGTCTACAAGGACGGGAGCTTGGCCCATCCGGAAGATCGCTTGAGTACTAGATACAGTACACAGGTACCTTGTCCCTTGCCCCTTGCCCTTCTCCAAACCCTGAGATAATTCCAGGCTCTCCTGCGCTGTTCTCCTTTGCCTTTGATCATTGAGCTGGCGTTACCAGCCGTCATCTTCATCTTCATCTTCATCCTCATCAAGCAGTCAACCGCAGCTCGGCAACTGACTACGATGCTTGGAGAAGCTGGGCAACTCAGGCTGGCTGCTACGATATTCAAGTAAGTCAGTGCAACCCCCATGCCAGCCTTGCAACCACTACGTTGACGGATACTCTTTCCAATACGGAGCGAGATGTTCGGTCAGATGCAGCCGATGCCTACTATGGCCCGGTTGTTGGCACAAGAGACAATTTTGACCTGTTTCACTGGCAAGCGAATCTGGGTATCAAAGCACTTGAGACTTCATTAATTGGCGAAAATACAACACCTCATTATCTATTTCAGGAATCGTATACTACAGATAATATAATCTTACCATATTACAGATCAGCTTACCTACTTTTGGCGTTACTTACGTCGGGTAGGAGGAAATGTTGTAGTCGACGCTGCTGTTCGGCGGCGCAAAGAAGCCATCGTTGCTAAGGTTCGAAATGAAGGTGCTCTGCCACACCTGCGCGACATCCATCTCGATCATGAAACCACCGCCCAGGAGGACGTTGGTGACGCGCTTGCGGAACTCGGCCGCGTCGTGGCTCATGGCCGTCTGCACGACGCTGGCGAACACCATGAGGTAGCTTACGATATGCAGGGGCTCGAGGTCCGCCTGCGGCCGTCGCCACTCGACGTAGCACGGCTGCTGGTCCTTCGGCGTGCGCCGGCCGCCCGACACGCGGAATTCAATGTTGGCGCGGACTTGTGGGTTGTGAGGCGCCAGCGCCGCGCACAGCGCGTCGATCGTCGAGTACTGCCAGACGGCGTACAGAAAGGCCAGGGTTGGTGGGTCGAGCTGGGCCATCTAGAGGTTCACGGGCACGTGGGCTTTCATCTGGGCATCGAAGAAGGCGCGCGTCTCGCTCGAGGGGTGCGGGAACGCGCTGGGGTTGGGGAGCTGGCTCGGGCCCATGAAGGTCTGCGCGCCCAGCTTGGACACGGCCGTCAGTTGTCCGCAGACGCGCTCGCTCGTCAGGCTCGAGCGGTGGAACTTGCAGATGCCGGCGAGCTCGTGCCGCCCCAGGACACACAGCGTGACGAAGCGCTTCAGGTCCAGCAGCGAGAAGCCGTCCGAGTGGCCGATGGTGATCTGGGTGGTGGCGTTGATCGACGGCAGGTCTTTGTGGATCCGGAAGTTCTTGCGCAACGCGCTGGTGACCTGTTCTACCTCCACGGCAAAGTCCTTCGCTTGCAAGATCCTGACCACTGGCGAGGCGATCTTACCCTTGTACCACCTGTACACGTTGGTCGGGGGCGGAAGCAGGACGGCGGGTATGACCGCACCCGTTGAGTTCGTGACGGTCGGGATGTTCACGTACTCATTCACGCGAACAACGTCGATCGACATTGGATTCGCGTGGTGAACGCTCCACGTCAGGTCTCGGCGCCTTCCGCCGGGCAGTTCCTCGGCCAAGGAGTCGCGAGTTTCCTCGTACACCTTGACCTGAAGCCGCTCGCGCAGTCTGCTCTGGAAGATCGTCAAGTCGGGATAAACGATTCCGAAGAACCGGTCGGTATCATTAAACAAACACTCGATTATTACATCCTTGATATATTGCTCGATGTCCTCGTCGCTACATTCGTGAAATCGCCGATGCGTGGCCTTCTTGAAGAATCGCCGCTCCGCGTATTCGAAGAAGTGGTTGACCCTGGCTGTCATCAGTGTTGGAGCTGAGCTCATAGCAAAGTCATTGTACGGCACTCTTCCGGCCGCGAGGTCTGCCAGCCGGTTCATGTGGTTAATCGCGTCGGCGCTGTCCTCGGCCTCATCCCTGAGCTGCGCGACGACGGCCGTGTCCACATTCACGAATTTCGTGATGGCTCGTTTTCCCGCGTTTCTGTAGTATAGATTGGTCTCGTCAGAAAGCAGCAGTTCACGCGTCATCCATCGGTCATCCGCGTTTATGTCGTCCTTTGCCGGATCCAGTGCCGGATTTGCCAAGCACACGGCGATGAGCATCTCCCAGCCGACGGCGGCCGTAAAGAAGCTGCCGCCTTCTTCAGGCTCCTCCCCCGACTCTTCACCCGAGGCTACGGGGGAGGCTACACCGGGCTCTTCATAGTTGTTAGAGCGGTCCGCGGGGTTGTCTACCGTGGTGGCATCTGGCCGGATGGCGGCGAATATGTAGTCCGGTATAGACGGCGGGTTGCCTGCGAGGCGTACTGCGGCGTCTGCGTCTGCCGCACCATGTCGTCGTATAGACTCCTGCCTCGCCAGGTCTGTATCCCCCTCCGGATACATTATGCGGATGGCGGTCTCATCCCCCCCAACTGAGTTGTAGGCGCGTAGGCGGAAATTGTGCCATACGTTCGCCAGGCAGGACACAGTCGATGTGTGGAAACTGCCCCAAGGGATCGCATGTTGGATCGCTCTGTAGTTGGTGGTATTCCAGTCGACAGTCCAAAGGTAAGCCTCGTATGCGGGAAGTCCTCCAGGCATAGAGGCAGGGGCAGCCATGATGATCGTCTTTAAGTTATTCGGTGGTTTGAGTGCTTGGTTTATTGTTAGTGAAATATGGTTGGAGTCACTTACCTTTCTGGGGTATGTGAATCGTGATGATGGTGTTTTGCTATGGTAAATAGATGAGATAGGATGAAACACGGGTGTGCCTCGGTTTATATATCCGCAACTCACGCGGTTCACGAGATATGTAGCCACGATCTTTGTCGGCGAGGTGAAGGCCTCCGGACAATATCGTTGTTCGTCAAGCGGCAGAAGTCCTTTCACCCGTGCCGAATGTCATTAGACAGGCTCATGTCCAATTCTCTTCTCAGCAGGTCTTTGTTAATCGACGACAATGGTCTTTGTTTCCAGTGCCCAAGAAGTGTTACAACTAGATGGCTTTCAAAGGAATAAGGCTGCCCACAGGCAGGGCGGATAAGGGGCGGGCCGGCAGATCCCATAAGCCCAATTCTGTCTCTTTTGGGCATAGACTCGGGAACCAGCATCTGTTGTTTTCAAGATCAGTGTTACATTTTTCTGGTCTCAGAGCTCAGAGACAGGGCTGTAAGCCGGATGTCCTTCATTACAGTCCAATCCGCTTTGTGACCCAAAGCCCTCCCTTTTCAAGGCAGCGAAGCCAAGTTGTAAAACGTGCCGTTGAAGGGTGGCTCTGTAACTCAGAAGTCACATTTGTTTGTTCAATCGTCCCTAGACCATTGCGATCTGCCGCCGGTTGATTTCGTCTTGCCCCTTTTTAGTCGGCGAAGTACGCATGTCGCTTTGACTGTTTAGCAGTTCAACCCACGCCAGAAAACCCATCTAGCTGTCAAGACTTCGTGGCCTCAAAACCTGAGCACAGCTGGTGACTTGCACCGCGATCACCGTCCCAATGCTCAAAGCACCCTTTCCCGTTGCTCGCAGCAGTGTTCGTCCTCTTGCTCCTTCGACTGCCCCAACGATACCGCTCCCCACGCCTCCGGCCACCGACCCCATAAGCCAAAAACGCCAGAATGGTCGCGGCGGTAGCTCTTCGCTCAACCTCGTCGACAAGCCTGTGTATGTCCCAAAGCAGAAGAACAGCTTGCACGATTGATTCGCCAACGCGGAGAGCGCCGGTAGCCGCCGCTGGAAGGCTAACGACTGGTACGTTACCTCGGCGAGGCCACCGCAGAAGCCGGAGAGGCCTCCCGTGAGAGTCGTACGCAGTTGCGAGCGGCGCGACGGCTGGATTGCATTGAGTTGGTTCCTGGCGATGTCGAAGGTCCAGAAGCGGAATCCGGCGCGAGGTACCTGGATCAGAGCATGGCTGCGCAAAAATGGGAGGAGAGATGCTGGTCGAGTTTGCGCGGCGAGGGTCGAATAGAGCTCAATTGGGAGGACTGAGAGCCCAGCTAGACCGCCCGTGGCGAAGAAGGCGACCTGCTCAGGGCCGGGCGGGATGTTTGTCATTGCGACAGCCCGAGCGGTGAGTTGTGAGTCGTGAGAGCAGACGTGGATCGGACAGGCTTCCCCGGATTCTGGAACCAATGAGACTAGAGAGTCTGAACCGGAGGTCCGCAAGAAGTCTAGCGAGGTTGCTTATGTAATGGCTCAGGGTGTGTGGTCCCAGGTGGTCTGTGCGCTGGGGGTGAGATGGCTGGATGGTTGCCTTACAGCTCCGTCACCACGGCAGATAGACGCGCTGTACCAGGACTTTGGCATAAATCTGTCCACGCCAGGTAGACACAAAACAACTAAGCTATCAAGGAGCATGGACCAATATCCCGCACGGCGACCTGTCAGGGAGGCTTCCAAGAAGCTGGGCGGCAAGCAACCCGACGGCGAGCCCAAAGGCAAGAAGCGCAAGGCCGACTGCGACGCGGACAAGGCGCCCAAGAACAAGAAGAACAAAGAAGAGCCGAAACCCAAGGCCCCTAAGCCCAGAGGTCCCGTAGACGTCGAGAAGCAGTGTGGTGTGCTACTACCCAACGGGCAGCCGTGCGCGCGGTCTCTCACGTGCAAGAGCCACAGCATGGGCGCCAAGCGTGCCGTCGCCGGCCGTTCACTTCCCTACGACATGTTGCTTGCTGCCTATCAAAAGAAGCACCAAGCCAAACAGTAGAAGGCTGCACTAAACGGCAACGCCTCGACAGTATGGGTGACATGAGATGGCACGAACTTAGCTGCCATCCGAGCCGCGGCAGAAAGAGCGTACCTTCTTGGAAGGCTGAATACGCCGACATATCTGACGCATACGGACGGACGAACGCAAATACTGGCGGCAGATGAAAGCCCTTCAACTACGAGGCATTGGCGGCCGACGCACCACAGCTGGAATAGCGCGTTGCGCAGAGCACGCCGCCGGATTAACGAGGATACGGAATATAAATATTGGGAAGGAAAAGCCCTTCTACCAAGAAGGCACCGAACGAGCTATGGCGTTGGCGTTGGCGTTATCTACCGAAAGAAATGTCGCACTAACGTACGAACGACGAGTAGTTGGAAGAAGAAGAAGACTAGCGCTCCGGCGGCATTCCCTCCTTTTCCTGTGTCACAGCTTCACCAGAAGCAACAAAGCATCGACAGCATCCCTTTTCCTACGTCAACAACACCATAGCTTCGATAGCATTTTCCTAGGTACGAAGCACCAGAGAAGCTCTCTTTCGGAGGCAGTTACACGAGAAACCCTCTGCGGAGGCACCGAGAGAAGTCCTCTGACGGAGGCACACACACATCGAAGATAAAGGCTCTTTGTAGCAAATAAGTGGCGTAAAGTAACTACCCTTCCGGCAGCGCTTATGACATCCTTGGGCACTGGCACCCTGGGTTTCTGGTTGATAACATGGCGCGCTTGGTGCAAGAGCTGCTGAACTGTAACATGAACAACTCTCTGGGACGCTCCCCTTCTGTCTCGGTCAGGCTCCGCTCCCATAGCTCGATCTGTGGGTTGTGTGTCGAGTCGGAACCCAGGGTGCGTTGATGTGCTCCCCAGTCAGGATGTCAAGGTGTGAGTTTCGGCTTGTACCGTTGATAGGTGCCAGAGAAGCACTATGGCAGCATATTGAGCTTCTTGTGAGTTTATCTAGCGCTTCTGAATTACATCTAGCCGATGTGGCTGGCGAGATCAAGCCGCATTTGGTTGAAGAGGCGGTCAGAGAGTGAACAATATCCACCAGTTTTTGCAGAGGTGTTCGTCGACCGCTCAAGCTGCTTTCGACTTGGACCTCATTCCAATAAAGACTCCATTCTTAACTCTAACCTCATGATCACAGCGTTGCTATTGCATATGAACTTATGAGTGGTTGGATAGTGTCTGCTAACATTCGTTTCACAGTTGCAACACTTAATATGCACTATGAAGTAGCCCCCCGAATGTGATGGCAAACTTTCATGATAAGTTATTTGGTGACCATAACCCCGATCAACTTCGTCAAACTCTGCCCAGCTCGGAAGACACATAACCATCTTTCAAGACTGTAAGGATATAGTGGCTGAATTCTAAAGCAAGGTGGCGTTGGTGATTCTGAGAACTTCGTATAGAATGTAGAAAGAAGTGGTAACTCTACATCGATGAGTTACGCTTTGGGGGAATTACGTCATTTAGACCTTGAGTGTTTTGAATTGAAGAACTCACTAGAGAGGCGGCGGCGTCTTTCAATAGGCACGAAACCATAGCTGAAGATTAGAACTTCGGAATGTGCTCAAGGTGTCAGTAGGCCAAGCCACTCGGGAAGAGTGGAAGCCCATCAAGGTATCAAAACTACCTCACAACCCTCAACAATCATAACATCCTGCACAAAGTTCAGTCACTCTCGCACGTGGGACCTGGCTTGAAATGCCACAAATGAATCTACTTTTGAAGAGAGCTGCTGGCCTGCAATATTCAAACCCAAGCCTTCGCCTCTTCCCATTCGAAACCTCCCTCTTCCTTACACCAACATCAACCTACTTCTTCCCTTCTTCGATCGGAAACATCCAGCACTCATACTCACACAACCACAACCAACACTCCTCCAACAATCCAACAACCCATCAAGATGCGCACCCAAACCATCCTCCTCGTCCTCGCGGCCGCCACCGCCGCCGTCGCCACCCCCCTCCGCGAGACGGCCGACAAATTCCCCCCCTTGCCCCACCACACGAAATCGACCCTCACGACCATCGTGACCAGCGTGACCCTGGCCTCCGCCTCCGCCTCCGCCGAGCAGGCGGAGACCAAGTCCACCCTTCAACCATCGCGACATTCCCCAAGCGACCCCCGTCATTCCCATACCCATTTCCCCGTCCACGCCGCCCCGCCCCAGTCACCGTCCCCAGCGTCAGCGTCACCGTCACCGGAGCAGTTGAGTCCCTCGACCTCGACCTGGAGGTTGGCCTTGGCCTCCGCCTCCGCCTCAGCCGAGCAGGCCGAGACCAAGTCCACCTTCGACCCGTCGCGTCATTCCCCCAGCGACCCCCGTCATTCCAATTCCCATACCCGCACCCATTCCCCCACCAGCACCCGTTCCCCTGTCTACGCCACCCCAGAGTCCGTCACCCCAGACCAGCCCACATCGCTCACCTCGCCAGCGGAGGAGGAAGACCAGGAAGACCCCACCGACGAGCTCCACGCCAACGCCTGTCTGAACTGGGCGTGCGGAGGCGACGTGTGCCCGGACGGCTACAACTGCCGCCAGGCCAGCAAGTACCTGGGCGCCTTCTGCTTCTGCGGAAGAAATTGGCTTCCTTTCCAGTAGGTAGCACGCGCAAGCGAGCACCCTAACCCTAACCCTAAGGACCGTGTGGGTGTGGCTCTGGTGGCTCTGCTCCACATGCAACACTCAGGGGTTAAGGGTTAAGGGTCGACGACCAACGGCCAACGACCAACTTGCGACCAACGGCCAACACCAAGCACGACTCTTCATCATGTTATCCGGTTTCGTCATTATCTCCTCTTCTCTGATTTTGTCTTACCTCACTTCATCTTGTCCCGGCCTGGCCTGGCTCCCTGCCGGGTTGCTTGTGGCCCTCCTCGTTCGTTCAACCCACCATCCCTCCATCTTACCAGTGAACCTATATTCCCACCACGCCTTCCACCACGGCAATCATCCCCAGCTATGTTCCATACCCAGCCCGCCTAGGACCGATACAGCCAACACCACACACCAACAACGACAACCAAGGCAGGAAGCGAAAAGGAAACGAAACGACTGCGAAGGTTCGGAGGGTTGATCATGGGCTTTCTTGTCTTGCATGTGCCAGGGTACCTACCTTACGCGAAATGAAACTGCAAGACCGGCGGCAAGCATGGCTGGCTGGCGGAGGGAGTAACTTAGGGCACCTTCTCATATGGGTTCATGGGTGGTTGGTAGACCGGTCCGGTCGGACTCGGACTTGTGATAGTTTCATAAGTTATCTGCTTTCTAGTTTCCTATACTCCAATGAAGTCCCCCTCCCAACACCTGACCTCGTGATCCAACTTCGTGATGTGATCCCATGCGAACCCGAGTGCTCACTTTCTGATATGCGGACTCATTCCCTGCGCCTTGATCCCGCGGTGTGACATCTAGTGCACTTGAATGCGGGATTGAGACTCAGTCATCGCAGTCGTCAGACAAGGAACTCACAAAGAACTGTCTTTGGTCAAGTGTGATGTAAGTAGTTCGTGAATGAAGCTAGCTATGCAGAAGTGTATAAGGTTCTAGGTCTTTGGTAAGCGAACAGGCCTCCTCCATATACAAGGTCTTCCGACCCAGTGTGCTCACGAGTCCTACTGGTGTTGCGAACACTCTCAATCTCAATAGACCAATTCAACAATCCCCTTTGCCCTTCATACTGGGTATCTCTATGTAACGAAAACTCATTCCACTATCAACGCCGGCAACACGTCATTCGTCGTCTCGTCGTAGACGCCATTATCCATCGTAAAGTATGCCGCCTCAAGTGAGGAGCAGAGATGTACCAGCCATCGCGGCAAATAGGACAGCCATAGTCCACCCAGGAGTCTTGAGAGCCGGTGCTGCGCTCTTTATGGACTCAATATAGCTCATGCTCATAGCCTTGAGCCTGACGTCGGAGCTCACAAGTCCACTTTCGGCGATCTCATGCAATTGCTGCGAGAAAGTCGCCAATATGTTGGTACTTCTGCCCTCGGGGCAGAACACGATCTCGAAGCCACCTCCACTGGGGATAATGAAGGTCGATGTCTGGTCGTCGAACGCGTAACTGTACGCATCCGGGCACATAGCCTTGGCGTTCTTCGAATACTGGCTCGGCCCGCAGACGTTCGGGTCGTTGTACTTGCCAGTACAGCAATCCTTAGGTGAGTTATTGGCCGCACATGCACTCCTGCAGGGATCGAAAATGGGACGCTGGACGTTGTCGTCCGGATATGGGTATACGCCATCTCCGGGCTTCGTTGGCGGAAAAGCTTGGAGATCCCACGGACACCAGTCGGCCAAGTCGGCGTTGGTTTTGCCGTCCTCGTACGGCATGGGAAAGCTCGAATTGGTGTAGGCAGTTCCAGTTCTACTTGAACCTTGCAGATATCCGGCTGTCCCAATACACGATGGGTTGACCAGGTTGGGCGGTAGGTCCGACGTATTCGATGCTGGGATATAGACGATGCCCAAGGGTAGATTGTAGCCATCCACGAGTGAGATGTCGTAGAAGCACTGCTTGCCATTCACACCTCCAGCAAGGTTGAACTCGGCAAGTGTCACGGGTACTTGTCCCTAACATGGCTGTCAGCGATAGGGGCGGAACGTGCCACCGAGACAGCGACTTACACCATATTCGCAGTCCAGCTTGCCAAAGCAGTCGCCAGTTAAGCAGCTCGCAGTATCACCACTGGTGGTACAATTCGTGCGTCCCCAGACTCTTCCCTGCCACGTTGGACCAACGGTCAAATTGGCCGACTCGCCCGATGCCAGTTCGAAACCATGTGTTTCGGGAGATTCGCCATTCTGCGTTCCAATGCCGGGCCAAAGCGTGTCACCACAGTTGTTGGTAATGACAAGCGGAATCGGGTTCTCGCGCTTGGTCAGCGGACGACGTATGCCCAGGTTTTCCGCGCTGGACGAGAGATAGTCGAATTTGTACAGTTTATTATTGGTAGGATACACAGCCGCGGATGCTTGCGGAACCTGGGACGACAGAAAGAGTGCTGCGCTGAGTAGTCGTCCTGTCTCCGTGTGACTGCACCGACGGCGTTGGCGGTTCGCCCGTCGAGGCATTATGTTCTGTTGATGGACCGGGCCAGTGCTAGTCGTGTAAGTCGAAGCGTTGGGAGTTGTTCACTCAATGGTGGCACCGCAAAGCCGAGGTGTCTTAGGAGATGATACGAGGAACAGAGTAGACAGCCCAAGCATTATTCGACAGCCGTCGAGAGGAGAGCAGGGTCTTATTGAATGTCTGCCAAGCTCAAAACAACATGGGCGCGACCGTTGCGCCGTTGGTTCTGGTATATTGCCCGGACTCGAAAGCTCGGATGAGCGAATGAGATAGCCTCCGCGATGGAGTCCGACTGGGTTCGGGTCTGGGCTAGGGCTGGTCCAGCTGGGGGCCGTTGAGCGTCTAGAAATTCCCCGGTTCGACCAGTGACGTATCGAAGGGAGAAGAACGACCAGGCAAATCAAGGATAGATCCTCGCAGTTCGATAGTGGTCTACTTCTCGACGATCCTTGTCTTTGATATCGGCTTCGAACGGCCAAGACGCAGGTCGGGGTACTGGAACAGGAACAGGTATCGCGCAGGAGGAATGAGAGACCGGTAAAGTACAGACAAAAATGCGGAAAGATGAGATATCCTAGAAGGGTGGTAAGGGTGGTGATCGTAGGAAAAGGAGTAGGATACCAAGAGGAGCGATTGTAGATGATGAGAGCTTCGGTGTTGAAGCCGTCGCAGGGAGAGCCCGAGGTCTCAAGACCTGCCACTGGAGGAATAACATTGCACGCCGCTTGGCGCCGCGAAAGAGCGGAAAGTGGCAGGTATGAGCAATGACGCAGGCAGGCAGGCACGACTGGCTGCCAGGTTTCACGCATTTTTTCAGGGGTTCATCCCACCTCCATCGCGTCAAACCTCCCAGTCGCAACTCCCTAGCCGCGCTGCAGGTTGACAACAACAGCTAAAGTGATCCGAGCGCAATGTCGTCTCGTGAGTCGTCCCCCTCGTCCCCCTTTCAAGCAAATCACTTCTTTAGGTACTTATTAGCACACCCTCTCCCAAATGCCACTAGGCACTTTCTGGAACCAGACATACTCCTCCAGTGCGACACAAATCTGCATATACAGAATGACACAAGCAAGCACTAGCTGTACTAAGTATGTCGATAGACAGGTCGTCCGAGGCTAAGTATCAGTCACTCGGCACTCGCCTGCCCATCTGATCACCGACCCGGGAGAATGGTCACCAAGAGTTTGATTGAATTGTAGATTCTGCCGGGATGGCAACCGAGTGTATGGAAAGCCCCTTTCATCATTCATCCATCCGTCACTCGGATCGCGTCTTCTTCGCTTATTAACTATTTCCCGCCAGCTCTACCCCGATATAACAAAGGAGCATGAATCAACAGGGGGTGCCAGTGGCCGCCTTGACGGGAAGATGCCCAGTTTCCTGCCCAGGTCGCCTGTAGCCCAAACATGCGTCATTGCTTTCTTTTCGGAGGTATCAGAAGGGACGTAAAAGTAAAGACGTCCAACAGTGAATCATCGCCAAGCATTGCTCCATTTTATAGCCTCTTTACCTGAATCTAGATCTGCAACGTCCCATAACTTCGCCTTGGCAGACGAGTTCGGCGCTGAATTCCGATCCGTCCAGCGTCAGGTAAATGTCGAAGTACACTCGGTAAAAAGTGCCTTGTGGGGTATCCATACGCTCGAAGTCTTTTTCTAGGTTCTTCCGTGACAAATCTGACGTGAGTGTGACAACTTCCTTTATACCTATAAAGTTATTAGTCTATAGAAGAGGCCGGGATAGGTGGGTGAAAAACTTACGAGGATCCTTGGTATACTCGGGGCAGACATCGTCATCACAAGCATAAAGGATGTCTTCGTACATGAGTGTGGCACCGGGAGCCACCTGACGGAAGAACGAGACCTTAACAGGTTCGCCGATCTTGACCTTTTGCCCCTTCTGCACGAAGATTTGTCGGGTAAACTTGCATCGATCTTTACCATCGAGCGAGGGTACACGATATGCCTCGGGATGGTAGCCCTCTTTGAATGGCTGCAGAGTTGCCATGAGGTAATGGCGACGAGCAACACGGTGAGTGATAACTCGCTCCGTAATACCAGCGGTAACCGCACCCTTGACGATGGCAGCAACGGAGTCCATGGGTCGGACGACCTTGGACTGGAATTGAGGTGGAACGTGAAGCTTGATCTGCTGGAAGAGATACTCGGAAGCACCGAAACCACCCACAACCAGAATGTTCTGTAATGTCCGGTTCTGGGCTTGGATGGCGATGATCTGGTTCCGCACAAGCTCCAAAATTCTGTTGACAACGGGCTCGAAACACTGAAGAATCTCCTCGTTGGTGAAAGTCATGTAACCCTCCTCGATGCCAGCCTCGGGGAACTCGGCCTCGATACCAACGTCGACGGCCCACTTCTGGCCGTTGTTTCTGAAGTCGGCCTTGATTCTGTTCTCAAAGTCCATGATACACTTGGCGTATACGCGGCCAGCGGTCTTGGATCCATCGGGCAGTTTCATCTTCCGAATTTTGGTTCGCAGAATGTTGCTGAAATTCCTGTTCAGTGCTGTTGAACCACACGAATCACCGGAACCTGCTGTGCATTCGGCCACCGTGAAAGGGTTTTCATCTTCGACCTCGTAAGCGATCAAATCGACGGTACCACCACCACAATCCACAATAAGGATGGCATCGTGGACTTTCAGATTCAACAAGCCAGTCTTGGCGCAAAATAGCGAAGCAGCCTCGGGCTCGCTGACCAGCGTCAATCGGTTGTCGTTCTCGTCGCGGAGAAATCCAGCCTGTATAGCTGCCGCTCGCGTGGCAGCCTTGCCTGCGTCGTTCCAAATAGCGGGCACAGTCAGGTAGTACCGAATGTTGCGCTCTTCTCTGTTAAAGACTTCGCCCAGGGTCTTCTGGAGAGCTGCTCGCATGGCTTGTCTTAGCTTGAAGAGGTAATCAGCAGCCACGTCGATCTCGGACTTTCCGGGCGGCAAAGGTGGTAGGTTGATGGGGTCGATGTATGTGTTTCCAGAAAGCATCAGCTGGAGCTTGAACCACTCGACTTTCTGGACACCTGGCTTCGGGTATCCTGTCGGGGCCAGCGCGTCGGCGATATCTGGACCCCATCCAACAACCTTCTGGTATTGATCGTAGTAGAGCACAGTGGGGATCTTTATCAAGTCAGCATTTTCGTCTTCCCATCTTCTTTTGCAGCAGAACAGCCCACTGCCTACCTTTTGCTTCGTGTACGAGCCAGCTCCCGGCCATTCTGTGATGATGTCTTCCTTGGCTTCGTTGTTAGTGGCGAAAGCGAATGCGACACCCGAGAACGTCGTGCCCTGTGCGCAACAAGTGATTAGCCTAGATCTCCAAGAACATGGCGAGGACTGCAGGAACGTACGAAATCAATTCCGACAATCAGCTGGGCCTTGCTCCGACTGCTTCCCTCAACCTCGGCAGCTGGTCGACCGTAGGCCGCCATGCCATTGTTCTGCAGCGGTGTGGGAGCGGGCGGCGGGTAGCCGGTGTTGTAGCCAGGCGGACCACCTGCAACCCCCTGAGGAGGTTGCGCTCCTGGTGGCATGTGCATCTGCGGCGGGTATCCGGACACGGGAGCACTGGTGTTGATGGGAGGAGGACCGCCGACCATCTGCGTGGGCGGTGTGCGGGCTGGACCTTGAGTCAATGGACTTGTGCGACCGAGAGGCTGCTGGCCGCCCTGCTGCTGCTGCTGCTGCTGGAAGTTGGCGGTGTAACTAGGCGGACGAGGTCCAGCGCCGGGATGGTTCATTATCGGGAGGCTCGCCTGCGAAGAGGTTGAATGGAGAGAGGGGGCGGGACCGGTAGCGGCGTGAGCGGGCTGGCTATGGCCAGGCTGGGCGTTGGCGAGGGCGGCGTGCGGTACGGGGTATTGCTGCGTGATTTGCGGTGGAGGGGTCGAACTGGCGTTGGCGGGCGGGCGGTCTGGCGAGGGGATGCTGGCGGTGGATTTCCGTTTACCTAATCCTAAGCCCTTGAAGCGAGAATTCAAAGAATTCATAAGGGAGGAGGAAGCAGGAGAGGCAGAGGAGAAGAATGGGCGAGCGAGGTAGAAGAAGGGAAGGAAGGGACCTGGGCCAGTCTGTAACTAGGTAGACCGCAGCGAACGGGTGTGTGTGATTGTCGAAGGATCGTGCCTGGCTGCCGGCTGCTGCTTGGTCACTGGTCACTGGGCACTGGTGAGGCAGGCTGGGCTGAGCTGACAAGAAGCGGGAGCAGTCGAAGTGCGGTGCATGCGATTTGGGGGCTTAGAGGGCAATCAATCGCTCCAATTGTCACCGTGGCAGCGTCGCCCTGGGAGATTCCTTGTCCGCCCTGTCTTACCATGTACAGTCCTTATGAGGGTGGAATTCGTGAAATTCCAGCACCAGGACGATTCACGTTCCTGAGTCCTGTCCTGTCGGGAGTCCTATCTAGTCCTTTGCGACGACAGGGGCAGCGGGGTCAAGCTGAGATGACCTCTGTAGACTGTGGCTCTGCTCCGTCTACTTCGGACTTTGTGGAGCCGACGGTGTGGCAGTCGGTGCAAATGCACTCCAGATGTCAAGGCAACCACCACGCTGGTTGAAGTGCAGGTGTTGTGGGATTTGGTAGGCAACAGAGATCCCGTGCCAATATATGGAGGAGGCCCGCGCAGGAGGTTGGTTTCAAGTTGTTGTTGGGTGCGGTGCAGCAAGCAGTCTGACAGTGAAGGTGGCGGTTCCCGTCTCTGGTGGGTTGTGTCTGTCCGTCCTGCGGTCCTGTTCCTGGTGGTCCTGTTCCTGGTCTGGGCTGGTCCGGGCGTGCCAGTCTTGGAAGTCTTGGCAGTCCTGGGTGCTGGATGCTGGATGCGGTGGAGGGCAGTGGTCCTACTGTAGAGGGGTGGTGCTGGCTCCGTTGAAAGAGGGACGAGGAAAGATGGGGCCCGGCTTTTAGGTACAGGTGTAAGAAAATAGCAACTCCTGCGGGACGCTATTTGCGACAATGATCAATCACCACTGTCCCTGTGGATCAACTCGTCTCCTCATTCACCTCTTGATCACCTCTTGATTCCGGTGTGGCTGGTTGAGCTGACAGCGCTAGACGGCACAACACGGGGTTGTAGTCTGAATATGGCAGTCTCGCAGCGAGGCTGAGGATGGTTCCCAGTGACGGTTGTCAGTCTGATGGCCGGGGGTGAGCTGGCGCTGATGACGCTGCCGTCGGATGGGAAAGTCCTAGATGCAAACTGGAGTTGGGCCTAGAGGGGAAACGTGAGGTGGGTTGGTTGTGTGTGTGTGCCCATGCATGACAAGGGTCGAAGGGACCAGACAGGCTACAGGCTGCGGCAGCGCGGGGGAACAATCGAGTGTTGGTTGGTTGGTTGGTCCTACGCAGGTCGATGGGAAGAGAGACGGCACGTGTGCGACGGTACAATCCAGTCCTTGACCCTTGAGATATCTTATTGATACCGATACGGGGTTCTTGGTACGGTTGGTGCGCGGTCAGCTTGCCTCGTTTGGCGAGAGAGTCCGCGATGATGATTGGGAGCCGAGAGGATTCCGGTGCAACGATCTGAAAGGACGCCATCGGATGTCAACAAGCGAATGCCTAGAACGGAAGTCCAGGATTCCGACTGTTCTTGTCGTCAACAGGCGATTTGATTGGGGGGTAAAGACGTTCAACCGGTCGGGCTGGGAAACAAGGACAAGTCGAGAACTCGTGATTGGATTGCTGGAAGACCAAGGGGGCCCAATGAGTCCTTTGTGCCCCCACGACAAGAGACAAAGAGGGAGGGTACTGAATACGGTGACAGCTTTCCCCGGATTGTGACAATAGCGGCATATGTTTGAGTGATGACGAAACGCTTCCAACTAGAGAAGGGAATACCTGAGTGTCTACCTATCTCGTGACACTGCAGGTACCGTCGTTATGTGTTGCGCGTCAATATGTAGGGTGGCGGCCAGGGAATGACCACCTGCAACAACAGCACAGCTCGGCAACTTGACTAATGAGCCACGGTCTGGATTATATATATCTGTGTGGCACCCCACGTACATAGATAGCATCATTGCGTGTCAAGACCGTAGACATGACAGACGTGGGAACGTTGCGATGCCGCGGCATTGCCCCCTTTGATAGGGCAGGGCAGTGTAGAATAACCACGAGGAATTCTGCAAGGTTCAAGTGTGGTACGAGTAACAGCGGCATACGGGTTACGGTCAGGTCGGACCGCAGAGGAACAGACAACGGTATCAACGCCGTTGTCAGACTCCAAAACAGGACTTCAGGCAATGAAAGATAACATCAAACAACGTGGATGAACGTTGCAAAGTCTTAGACACGAAGTCAAACGGTTACCGAGCCGGGGAGGTAGACGAGCGGCGATTAGTTAATGCCTGTTCTTTACCAGAGGGGTAAGGGTCTGATGAACGGTAAATCGACAGATAATTAACTGTTGATAATTTTGAGGGTCGGAAATTAAAGAAAGTATTAATCAAGCGTTAAGTAAAGTAACTTATTTTACGTTATTTTACGTTTTAGAAAAAATTAGTGTTGATATTTTAAGCGTTAATTTTTAGGGGATTAAAATTTATTAAACTGTTTGTACTTATTATAGCTCGTTATATAAAGCTTGTTAAAATCCTTTAGCTTATTTAAGCTAGCTAGCTTATAACTTATTAGATTTTAAGTTATAACTTATGAAATCAAATATCTTTAAGCGGTTGTTTCTTATTAATTAAAGTTATAAATAGTATTATACTTATATTACTACTTATACTTTGTTAAAGCCTTTAATATGACTTATAGTTATTATACGATTTTTATCGTACGTATATTGTGTTTCTTTTTACATATTACATATCCATTTATTTTACATTTATTTAACAGATTATTAAATTAAAAACTATATAAAGCCAATATTTTAATTTATATATAGTAACTTACAGCTCTAAACATAAACATATTATTAAGCGGCATCTTTTAATTTCTTTACTCGGTTTCCTTAAAAAGCACTATATGAAAGACTTAAAGCAGCAAAGTCAAAAGCTTGATAATAATAAACATTGCATGTTAATAAATCTTAAGTCTTATAAGTCTATTAACAGTAATTTCGTTTTTTTATTTTTATTAATAATAACTAGCAAAATAACGAGAAAGATTTATAACGTTTTTAATTTAGCTTATAATTACCAGTAATAAAATTAATAATAAGCTTTAGGCTACGATTGTACCTTGTGCCGTATTATAGGTATGAATATAATTAAAACTGCTATATTAAATAATCGAAGCTTAGTTTTTATATTTAATGTATTACTTCCGCTGCTTTATAATACGTTTAGATAATCTTTGATTATTTATATCAGCCTTTAGTTATAAGTAAAAAAAAAATCATATCGACGTATTATTAATAATAATAATAATGATAATATAAAGCCTTTTACGTTATAAACATTCTTTTAAACTTTTTAATTAAGACGGTATAGCGTAAGATTAGCAGTACTTATCTATCGTTTCAAGAAACTTTTTTTATCATTCAAATATTTGATAAGAACTAATATTAAATGTTCATTAACTATAGTTTTAAATATAAACATTTATTATTATTTAATAGAATTTAAAAGTTATTTGGGATTTTTTATTAAGTAGTTAAAGACTTTTTAAAGACTTTTGCTTAATATTTTCAAAACTACTAAATTGTTATATTATTATTAATTTAAGCTTAAAAAGTTTTAAAAAGTTACGTGTCAATAAGTGGCAGCTTTGCAATATTATTAATAATGCCTGTGATTTTTTAAGCTTTTTAACATTAATACTATTAATAACAGGACTGTTTTGATATTATTTTTAATTATATAACTAACTCGATATTTATATCGGCCTACATATCGAAAAGAATAAGAATAAAAAAGGTCTACACGAAGTTTCCTTATATAAAGAAGTCTTTTTAAAAAATCGGTGGTTATTAGAATATAAACTGATATAAACGTTAAATTTCGATATTTAATTTTTATATTAAAATCTTTTTACAGTTATTATTTCAATAAACTTTAACGACGTTAGAGATCCTTAAGATTTTCGGTATTTTAAAAAGTAATAATAAAAGTTATTGTGACGGTGTACAGCTGTATCCACCTGGTTGGATACGAAGTCATTAGGTCACGTGTAGATTAGATAAGGAAGGAAACCACTATATGTGCTGCAGCTATTTGGCTGCACGCACACCTGAATTTCTTTCCTTCCTCACCTTGTTATTGCCGTAATCAACACTAGATTGCAACACAACGCCGCAGGCATCGTGACAGTTATTAGTTTTAAACTACTAGTAATTGCCGTAATGCTACTAATAACTTTTAAAAGCTTTTTAATAAGATTATTTGTTTTAATTACGCTTCTAATCATGTTTTTACGATGAAACGAGGTAGCCCAAGCTATAAAAGAATAATAATTAAAGGAATTAGAAGCTAAATTTGATCTACTTATTAAATGCCTTACGATTTCGTATCGCGATAGAAACGTGGTTTAAGGTTAATAGTATATTCGCAAAGACGTTTTTGATTAAAACCTTATTAACAATATTGATAAAACTAATACTTTTAATCGTACAGAATAAAAAAGGCAATTTCAAAATAAAAGCCTCTATAATTATGTTTTAAAAAGCCGCCTTAGTATATTAAAAATGGGATCAAGCTAGGTTTAAAATGATATTAATATGACAATAAACCAACGTTCGAATTTAATTAAAAAAATATTAAAAGACAATAAAACAATTAAATAATACTTCAATCAATGTATAAAGAAAAAGATCTTAACATTTAATATACTAAGTATTATTAGGAAAAGGAAAAACCTAGTTAACGATTAGTAAATATATCATTTTTATTAAACCGTTAAACTTTAAATAAGCAATATTAGAAAGACGTATTGTAATAATATTAATAGCAAAAAGGATTTTCATTAATATTAAATCTTTAAGCCTTAAGCCGAATTTATTAATAACATTTTCGGTATATTTCTTTATTATAAACTTTTAATAATTAT